AGCCTGACCAACATGGTGAGATCCCATCTCTATCAGAAAAAGAAAAATACAAAAATTAGCCAGGTGCTTTGGCATGCATCTGTAATCCCAGCTACTCAGGAGGCTGAGGCAGGAGAATCACTTGAACCCGGGAGGTGGAGGTTGCAGTGAGCCAAGATTGCACCACTGCACTCCACCCTGGGCGACACAGTGAGACTCTGTCAAAAAAAAAAAAAAAAAAAAAAGAATCAACTCAAAATGGATTAAAGAAATAAAGGTACTACTGGAAACTATGAAACTATGAGAAGAAAATATAGGCAAAACACTTCAGGACAATAATCTGGGCAAAGATTTTTTGGTAAGACCTCAAAAGCACAGGCAGCAAAAGCAAAAATAGGCAAATGAGATCATATCAAACTACAAACCTCCTGCACAATCATGGGAACAAACAGCAGAGTGAAGAGACCACCTACAGAATGGGAAAGAATATTTGCAAGCGAGAAATCAATCTCCAGAATATACAAGGAGCTCAAACAACGCAAAGGTTTTGAAGGATGGTGATGAGAAGGTTCTGCTACTTACAGAAAGGAAGAAGTTAGAGAAAGGAAATTTAGGAGAAACAAAACCATAAACCTAGCTTGTTCTGCTTCTCTCTGTGACTCAGTTAACAGTCTTAAACACATCTCCCTAAGCCTCCTTCCCCGGTGGGATTCCTGGGTCGTGTGAGGGCCTCATTGGTCCCTCTGGTAAACCCAGGCACAGAGTGGAGCAGCTGTCGTTTTCTCAGGATCTTCCCCTTCACATATAATTAACGCACCTACAACATGCTACTCTCAGAACCCTTCAAATAAATGTCCCCCGGTTCATTCACCACCAGAGTCCCAGCTCAGCTGGTTCCCCAGCTTAGGACTGAGTGGTATCTTGGAGGTAGTTTCCACCACAGCCCCCTTCCTCTGCTATGAGGCTCAGTGACACACCAGACACCCTCTCCAGCCAGGCTCCTGGAAGGTCTGGGTGAAGACTGGGACCCTGAGGCATTGCTCAGCAATGTGGCTTAACACAAACTTCTATGTAAAACTTCCAACCACTTTCACCAAGGGGTTACTTCCTGCATCTTGAGGTGTGAGGGCACCTTGGTTGGTCCCTGCAATATCAGATCCTATAGAGATCCTACAAACATGTTGCAAATTCTTTGAAGATTCTAGCACTTTCAGACATGCTATTGGGAAATGGTGACAGCCATAAGCTTCTAGTTCCAGGACAGAGAGCCTTAGCCCAGGGCTATGTTTTCTGAGGGTCCTCAAAGTAAACAGTTCTATGTTCCAGGAGAACCCTAGATCTCTAAGGGCAGAAAGCCACACACACGCAGGCAAAAAGCAAGAGATTCAAGGAAAAGCTGAGCAAAGAGAGGCAGGAAAACACTCACACGATGAGTCACGTTGCAGAGCTAGAACCGAGATGGAGAGAGGCACGAGCGGGCACAGAGTGTGCTCCCCAGAACAGGTGGAGAGAATGCCTTTTTCATGCCCGGAGGATAGGCTGAGTAAGGCTTGTGATCGACAATCAAGGACTATTTTTTTCCCCAGCTGTCTGCAAGAGACCTTCCATCTGAGCTCAACTGTGCCCTGCAGTAATGATGGAGAGAACATGACTTTGCTCTGCAGCTCTGGAAGTTCATTTGACCTGTGCCTTCTACAGGGAGGGGAGGCCCCTGGACACTGGCTCACTGGGGTTCAGAGACACAGTGGAGCATTCAGGCCAGCTTCTCTCGGTCTTGGGGCTGGTGATGGGACCTCTAGATGCCGCAGCTCTCTGTCAACGGCTCAGCCTGTGAGTGATCAGCCCTGGGTAACCACTATTATTGAGGGGAAGCCATGCCTGCTGCAGGTCCTGTGAAACACTAAATCATAAAGCCATGTCTGAGGGACAGCCTGCTGGAGACATGGGAATCTTAGGGATTCCAGACAAATTGAAGCAATGAGAAACACAAAGAGGAAAAGAGAGGTTGAGTATGACGGGGGTGTCAGGTAGACAGGGCAGCTCCACACTCTCCACTGCTTCCCGTCTGGAGGCCCACTTTGGGGTCCTACTTATCCAAGTGAGTGAAGAAAGAGGTCAGGACAAACACAGATGCAGTTTGGGGAGATAAGTGGTGGCCTCAGCCCCTCGCCTTTTTCCATCTTCCGGAAGCCCCTCCTGAGTTCTCACCAAAGAGAGATTTCCCATTTGGAAACTCGGATATTTATTATCCCAGGCGGAGGCAATGTCTCTTGATTATGGGCACTTTCCATCACCAGGCACCTGCTAGTCCTCTCTATACCTTCCCTCTCAGGAAAGGAATTGTCCCTCATGGGATTCCAGGGAAGACCCCCAGGACCCCTATCAGTCACTAGGGAGATGACAGAGTAGAGGAAGGCAGGGGACCAACACTCCATAGAGAATGGTCCTACTTCGGTGGGACAAGGGAGGCTCTCCCTCACCCATTTGCTGTCCTGTTACCTTGGAACCCTAGGAGAACTTGTTAGTCACCCACAGAATCCACCCTTGAATGTGGTGTACAAAGTGGTGCTGTTAGCCTCCAGTGTGAAGTCCCTGGGGAGATGGAAGGCCCCCGTGTGAGTGAAGGCTGTGCCACCTCCAGCTGTGGGACCTTGGGCTAGGCAGCCCCTCCCGAGTTCCTAGGTTCCCCATCCGCATCTGAGACTGTGGTCAGTGCATCTGAGACTGTGGTCAGTGCGGGAATCCGCAAGACCCTTCAGCCTCCAATGCTCTGGGACGGAGGCCCCGTCCACAGGGAGGAAGGGGTCAGAGTGACCTGAGCCCCTACTCAGGAGAGAGTCTAATCCACTCTCCATCAGGGCCTGTGGGGAAGGGAAGATGAAGAAACGGAGCCTGCACCTGGCTGTGTGGGCGCAGTAGGTGAGGGGGAAGATGAGGGCTCCTGAGACTGTGCCGTGTGGCAGAGACCCTGCAGCACACTCAGGGAGGGCTCTGGAAGGATCCAAGGAAAGTTTCCAAGAAGAGGGAAGAGTAAGTGACAGAGACCCTCAACCGTGGATTTCACTGAGGTGCCCATGATGATATAGGGAGAATGGGGGTGTCTGGGCAGGAAGAATATCGTCGGGGTGAAACGGGTGGTGATGGGCTCCGTGTCAGAACTCCTGTGGAGGGAGGGGCCTGGCCCACATGAAAAGGTCTCTGATCCTACCCCAGCCCCCAGCCCCTGTTCTCCAGGATGACACTGTGGGAATTCCATCAGGAGGGGTGTGATAGGGCTGGTCTTCCTGGCTCTATTCACAATGCTGGCTGGGGCCTGGGAACCCATGGGGAGCCACAGGTGGAAATGGAGGAGACTCGATGAACCCAGCAGCAATAAACATGGGGTCTGACAATGGAACTCACTTCCTGAAGCCAAGAAAGGCACTTGTAGGACAAAAGGGAAAGGGCGGTGGCTTGCTTGGTTCTGTTCACTGACAACCCACAGGAGATGTCCAGTCCTCTTTTTATTTATTATTTTATTTTATTTTATTTTATTTTATTTTATTTTATTTTATTTTGAGATGGAGTTTTGCTCTTGTTGGCCAGGCTAGAGCACAATGGTGCGATCTTGACTCACTGCAACCTCTGCCTTCTGGGTTCAAGCGATTCTCCTGCCTCATCCTCCCATGTAACTGGGATTACAGGCGCCTGCCACCACAGCCAGGTAGCGTTTGTATTTTTAGTAAAGACGGGATTTCGTCATCTTGGCCAGACTGGTCTCAAACTCCTGACCTCATGAGATGTGATCCGCCCGCCTCGGCCACCCAAAGTGCTGGGATTACAGACATGAGCCACCGCACCCAGCAAGAGTTTCAGTGCTCTGTCGGATTCCCTGCCTACTCCATGTTACATGTAATGTTCCACCTCAGGCGTGTTTCCTCTCCTTTCTGTCTCCTTCCTCTTCTCTTTCTCCTTTTTTCTTTTCAATTTTTATTTTTTGAGACAGAGCCTTGCTCTGTTGCCCAGGCTGGAGCGCAGTGGCGCAATCTCGGCTCACTGCAACCTCTGCCTCCTGGGTTCGAGAGATTCTCCTGACTCAGCCTTTTGAGTAGCTGAGATTACAGTTGCATGCCACCACATCCGGCTATTTTTTGTATTTTTAGTAGAGATGAGGTTTCACCATGTTGGCCAGGTTGGTCTCGAACTTCTGCCCTCAGATAATCCACCCGCCTCGGCCTCCCAAAGTGCTGGGATTACAGGCGTAAGTCACCACTCCCAGTCCTGAGTGATCTTTCCTCTTTAGTGTGTTCTCACAACCACCTCTCACTGGGCTTTCTTGTTCTTTTTTTTTTTTAGACAGAGTCTGGCTCTCCTGACCAGGCTGGAGTGCAGTGGTGTGATCTCGGCTCACTGCAACCTCCGCCTCCTGGGTTCAAGCGATTCTCTCACCTCAGCCTCCTGAGTACCTGGGATTACGGATGCACGTCATCACACCCGGCTAATTTTTGTATTTTTAGTAGAGACAGGGTTTCACCATGTTGGTCAGGTTGGTCTCGAACTCCTGACCTTGTGATCCGCCTGCCTCAGCCTCCCAAAGTGCTGGGATTACAGGCGTGAGCCACCGCGCCCGGCCAGCTTTCTTGTTCTTATCCCTTAGTTCTCTGCCAGGGAATAAGATAGAAAACACTCCCTCAACCACATTCTAGTCATGGTCCCTATTCTCATATTTCCACTTCTCTCTCTCTTTGGCAATAAATTAATTAATTGAGAAACAAGTTGCTGAATGTTCATCTTCTGCTAAACTGCATCCCCTAATTTTCCCAGAGCCTCCCCTAATGAAATCGACTGTATTTACTGAAAGCAGGAAGTGGGTCTCTTCAGATCAGGATGACTGTCTCCTGGGGACATATTTGTCTTCGCATCGGTGGGGAAAAGGAAAGTCGATGTCATGAGTGGAGGCTCTGAGAAAATAAGGGCTGTGTTTTCAGTTTAGACTCCCGCCCAGTTGGTAGCTGACCTAGACGTGATGTTAGGTCTACCCTCCACGGGCAGGTTTTCAGACAAAGGAGCCCTGGCCATCAGGGGACACCTCAGGTTTGGGCTGAGATGTGTGCAGAGGGCCTGGGTCCTCCTGAGCCCCCACACTGGGGGGAATCAGAGACAGGCCCAGCAAGAGGCTGTGTCCACTTCCTGTGGGTTGACAGCTGTGGGGACCCAGACAGGCGGCAGCAGGCTCTGACCTAACCACATCCGCGCGTCTGTCTGTCCTGGAGGGTCGTGTGGTCTCCCGTCCCACAGCTGGAGCACGCAGAGCAGGCATCATGGTGTCCATCCTCCCTGTTCTTCTGTGCCTCAGTCAGTGGTGGAGAGACGAGGGACAGGAGGGGCACTGGGCTGGGGTGAGGGGGCTCCCACAGCAGCCTTGTTCACTGGAGACCCTCAGGGGTCCAGTGGCTACTGGTGCTCCAGCAGGAAGGGAAGCAGTCACACCTCTGTCTTCCAAATCCCCCACAGGAAACTCTCCTCCATGGCTGAGTCTGGGCCAGAATACCCGAGCACCTGCGGGTGAGTCTCTGCTAAGCTCCCCTGCCCTACCTCACACTCAGCACCCGGACTCTCATCTCAGGGCCTTCTGAACTGAGGGTGAGAAAATCAAGAGGGTCCATGGCCTGAGCTGGGAATGAGGGGCAGGGGAGGTCTGTGGACTCCAGCCTGTGGTTTCTTCCAGGGATCCTCCCCAAACCCAGCCTCTGGGCTGAGCCAGGCTCTGTGATCAGCTGGGGGAGCTCCGTGACCCTCTGGTGCCAGGGGACCCTGGATACCCAGGGTTACCATCTCACCAAGGAAGGAAGCACCATGACCTGGCACCAACAGAGCCCACCAGAGCCCAGGAACAAGACCAACTTCTTCATCCCATCCATGAGAGAGCACTATGCAGGGACATACCGCTGTCACTATCTCAGCTCTGCAGGCTGGTCAGAGCTCAGTGACCCGCTGGAACTGGTGGTGACAGGTAAGAGGACACTCAGGGGTCCCAACCCCAGGCTCTGCCCTCAGGAAGGAGGTCAGCTCTCAGGGGCATCTTCGTTCTAATAACTCAGCCCTGGGGGATGATGTGGGAGGCATGAGTCCCATTTAAGACAGTGTCTCCTTCTTTCCTAGGAGCCTACAGAGAACCCACCCTCTCAGCCTTGCCGAGCCCTGTGGTGACCTCAGGAGAGAACGTGACCATCCAGTGTAGCTCAAGGCTGGGATTTCAGAGGTTCATTTTGATTGAGGAAGGAGAAAACAAGCTCTCCTGGATGCTGGACTCACAGGAACTCTCCAACGGGCTGTTCCTGGCCCTGTTCGCTGTGGGACCTGTGGCCCCCAGTCACCGGTGGATGTTCAGATGCCATGGATATTACAGGAACATCACCCAGGTGTGGTCGGAACCCAGTGATACCATGGAGATCCTGGTCTCAGGTACAGACATCTGCTCCTTGCCCGATTTATTTTTGAGAACTCACTCTCAGGGAGTCCCACGTAGGAGGGTGGAACAAGGGAAGTTTGGGACTCCTGAGCCCAGAGAGACTGAGTGTGAGAGACAGTGAGACCTGCAGGGCCAGAACGGGAGAAGGAAGGGGTGTGGGAGGAACCAGTCCTCCTAGTCCCAACTCTTGTTTTCCTCCAGGCGTGTCTAGGAAGCCCTCCCTCCTGACCCTGCAGGGCCCTGTCGTGGCCCCTGGAGAGACCCTGACCCTGCAGTGTCGCTCTGATGTCGGCTACGACAGATTTGCTCTGTACAAGGAGCAGGGACATGACCTCCTCCAGCGCTCTGGCCGGCAGCCCCAGGCCGGGCTCTCCCAGGCCAACTTCACCCTGGGCCCTGTGAGGGTGTCCCACGGGGGCCAGTACAGATGCTACGGTGCACACAACCTCTCCTCCGAGTGGTCGGCCCCCAGTGACCCCCTGGACATCCTGATCGCAGGTGAGGAGCCCAGCGGGTTCAGTCAGGGACCCAGGCTCTGCTCAGGCCCTGCTGGGGGAGCCCAGGTGGTGATGGCCGGGATGAGGGGCGGGGGTCCTAAGGGAGAAAGACACAGAGAGAGACAGGGATGGGTGGGGAGGGGGAGACTCAGAGAAAACAGAGACAGAGAGACTGAGGGCCCCAGAGAGAGGACTGGGGAAGTCTCAGCTCAGAACAAGGTGGGACAGCCCCTCACCCATCCTTCTTCTCTCCAGGACAGATCCCTGACAGACCCTTCCTCTCAGTGCAGCCGGGCCCCACAGTAGCCTCAGGAAAGAACGTGACCCTGCTGTGTCAGTCACGGAGCCCGATGGACACTTTCCTTCTGACCAAGGAGGGGGCAGCCCATCACCTGCTGCGTCTGAGATCAGAGCACCGAGCTCAGCAGCACCAGGCTGAATTCCCCATGGGTCCTGTGACCTCAGCCCACGCGGGGACCTACAGGTGCTACAGCTCACACAGATTCTTCCCCTACCTGCTGTCTCACTCCAGTGACCCCCTGGAGCTCGTGGTCTCAGGTGAGGGCCCTGACCTTGTCCTCTCTGAGCTCAAAGGCTCAGCTCAGGCCCTGCCCCCAGCAGAGCTCAGGATGCTAAGGAAAGAGGGGAGTAAAGGGAGAGGGCCCAGCCCATAAGAGGGTGGAAATTGTCAGGGACCTCCTAATCCTGGGCTCCCACCCCAGAGACCTCAGATGGGGCTAAAGGCCAGGGAGGACTGAAATGAGATACGGAGGAACCTTGGAGGAATCATACTTAGACTGAGGATAGAAGATGGAGGCTCCACCCACTCCCCACCTGGGCTCCCCCAGCGGCCCCGTAACACTCAGTGCATACCTGAGACTAAGGGGAGATTGTGCATCTGCTCACTGCAGCAATGCAGGCAAATATTCAACAGCAAACCTCGTGCGCAATTCCTTTCTGTCCTTTATTTTTTACGTCCACGTATCTATTGTTTCTCTTTCTGTTTCTGAAGATTCCAAAGCAATGCTGGCATTTATAATTTACACATTTAATTTGGTAGGTAGCGTTATGATGTAAAATGACTGTGCTCTGATTTTCTTTGGGATTAAATTAAATATGTGCATTCATGATGGAGAATAACTTCTTATTAATAATGTCTGTTTATCCAATACATTTAAAATTAAACTTTATACATTTATATCAGCAGGCTTTTGAAGTTATATTCATAACAACTGTGGACATTGTGAATTTTAAGGATTGTTTTACTACTTGAATAATTTGAAAGGCTTTGATTCCTTTCTATCTTCTAAAATTAGTTAAGTATAGATGAGAAAGTTCTTGGTTTGAGTATGCTAATTTTAGTTCCCATTAACTTACCCCTGACACACTCCCTTTCAATCCTTTCCCAAATGATCTCTTCTGATTTATTGATAATAATTACATTAACCACAAGAAAATGGAGGACAAACTTGTTTCTAAATTTTATAATACTCTTCTCACTTCAAATTTGTATGTATGTGTTTATACATACCCCACACACCATTATCTATCTTATAATGTATACTATGTATTATATATTTATATATACCTACACACTATTATCTATCCTATAATATATATTATGTATTATATATTTATATATACCCACACACTATTATCTATCTTATTATGCACTGTGTATTATATATTTATGTATACACAATTATATATCTTATTATATATTTTGTATTATATATTTATGTATATACACCCACACAGTATTATATATCTTATAATATATATTATGCATTACATATATACACACTATTATATATCTTATGTATTATTTATTATATATTTATATATTAACATATATGTTATACATAAATATATATATCAATATATTTATTATATATATCAATATATTTATATATAACATATAAATATATAAATATATTTATATACAATATATAAATACATAAAGTATATATATTTATATTATATATTAATATATAATATATAAAATATATAAATATTTGATATATTATATTAAATAAATATATCATTAATATAATAAATATATTTATATATTAATAAATATATTTGATATATTATATTAAATAAATATATGATATTTATATATTATATATTATATATAAATATATTACATATTTATATATGGCATATATTAACACACTATTATATATTGTATTATATATTTAGAGATACACATACTATCATACATCTTATTATATATTATGCATCATGTATTTATATATACACACTATTATATATCATATATTATGTGTTATATATTTATATATACACACTATTGTGTATCTTATAATATATAATGTATTATATATTTAGATATACACACACTGTTATATGTCTTATTATATTTTATGTATTATATATTTAGATATATACACTATTATATATCTTATTACATATTTATATGTATACACACACTATTATATATGTTATTATATATTATGTATTATATATTTATTTATACACACACTATTATATATCTTATAATACATACTATGCATTTTATATTTACATGCACACATATTATATATCTCATAATATATATTATGTATTACACATTTGTATATACACACACTATGATATATCTTCTAATACATAAGCATTATATATTTACATACACACACTATTATATCTCAATTATGTATATACACATATTTATTCCTGTGCATATATGTATGTATGCACCTCTGCCGCATCAGGAAAAGGTTCTATCACATAACTACAGAACAGTTAGGAGAAATGTAGACACAAAGGAATGCAGTAACTGAGGGACATGTTGACTTAAGTCTCTTCAACTCCTCACACACCTCCCCTCTTTTTTTGGTTGATTCTCAGGAGGAGCTGAGACCCTCAGCCCGTCACAAAACCAGACAGACTCCAAGACTAGTGAGTGAGGAGATGCTCTCCGTTATGGGGCTGGCACAGAGGGTCAGGTCCTGTGAAGGGGAGGTGGGCATCCTGGGTGGACATCCAGGGGTCCTGGGTCATGATGATCTACCCTGACCTCTGTGACCTCTTTGTCCACCATCCCCAGCCTCACACCCCCAGGATTACACCGTGGAGAATCTCATCCGCATGGCCGTGGCTGGCTTGGTCCTGGTGGTCCTTGGGATTCTGCTGTTTTAGGATTGGCACAGCCAAAGAAACTCCCAAGATGCAACCAGGAGGTAAACACAAGAGAGAACAATACACCCGTCAGAGTGCTAGAGCCTTGGCAATGAATCTGATGGTCCCAAAAGGTTCTGAAAGAAAGTCTGGACCATCATTCGGGAAACTGTCTACTGAGAAGGTCGAGAAGAGGAGGTATGGGTCAGGTGCAGGAAGATATCTGGGTGCCTGTAGAGAATGCTTCCTCTATTAAACCTCCATTAAATGGCGGTGATTTCCATCCTGCTGTTGTGGACCCTCTGTGACTGCCCCTCCCTTCCTTTTGCTCCCTGTGACGTGAGGGCACATCCCCCGTGGTGGGTTTGTGTCCACACCCCTGTGATCATGTGCTCTGGTCCACTGTTATGTAATGCATTTTTCTTTGTTTCCAACTGCCACATTCCCTGAAGTGAACTATTGATTCTCCATCTCTTCAGTTCTGAGCATACATCTGGATTAAATAACTGGAATAGGTGGGCAAATGTGTATTTGGGACTTTGAAACATGAGTCTGAGGCCAGGCACAGTGGCTCATGCCTGTAATACCAGCACTTTGGGAGGCCGAGGTGGGCAGATCACCTGAGGTCAGGAGTTCTAGGCCAACCTGGTCAATACGGTGAAACCCCATTTCTACTAAAAATTTTAAAAATTAGCTGGGCATGGTGGGGCATGCCTGTAATCCTAGTTATTCGGGAAGCTATGGCAGGAGAATTGCTTGAACCTGGGAGGCGGAGGCTGCAGTGAGCCGAGATTGGGCCACCACACTCCAGCCTGGGCAACAGAACAAGACTCCATCTCAAAAACTAAAAATAAAAAATACACTTCCTTGGTCCTTTCTGTTGGACTCATGTTTCAAAGTCCCAAATACACACATGGAGGAGGTGGCTCAGTGCTGACCAGGGGCTCCGGTCAATGAGCAGAGATGTCCCAGAGCCCATCTGTAAAATCTCAGAGAAGGCGTGGTGGCTCATGCCTGCAATCCCAGCACTCTGGGAGGCTAAGGCAGGTGGATCACCTGAGGTCAGGAGTTCAAGACTAGCCTGGAAAACATGGTGAAACCCCATCTCTAATAAAATTATAAAAATTAGCTGAGCATGGTGGCAGGCACCTTTAGTCCCAGCTACTTGGGAGGCTGAGGCAGGAAAATTGCTTGAACCCAGAAGGCAGAGGTTGCAGTGAGCCAAGATCACGCCATTGCACTCTAGCCTGGGGGACAGAGCAAGACTCTGTCTCAAAAAAAAAAAAAAAAAAAAAAAAAAAACTCAAGGAGAACCAGAGCTTCCAGCCTCGCCCAGAGTCTTGACTCACTCCCTGTCTGTGAGGACCCTAGGGAGCCTCTTCTGTTCCACACAGAAGTGGAAACTTCCTCCTTAATAACCCCTTGATGGTCCCAGGCACTGGTGACCACTGAGCTTTGCTCTCTCTTTTTTCTTATGATTCTCTGTCTACTTCCAGTGCTATCACTTTACTTTTTGTGCATAAGACTATGAGTAATGTTTTAGAAACTTTCTATTAAATTTCTCAGTGCTAGGAACAACTGAGGTTTTCGATTGAGTGCCTCAAATGTCTACCCTTACTGTGGAGTCCAACAACAGGATTCTAACAAGTCCCAACCCCTTCATGCCTTAACCTGATCTGGAAATAAATTATATTTGAGCTCATCCCATACCCCAGCCACATCAAGCCCCACAATCACTCTGAGAAGTGAGATTTATAGCAAAATGCTCCAAACAAGGAAACTAAGGTTCAGGCAAGGGATGTTAATGTGTCCATTTACATAAATAAAAAATGATAGATGATCAGCTTTCCCTTTGAAATCAGAGTACTAATCTGACTCATTGTTCCCTGAATTTTAGAGGCAGAACCTCAGGGGGAGATAAGAATCCTACCCCAGGAAAGTTACCAATATCAGAAAGGAAACAATGACATCAGTACAGATGCTACAGAATTCAAAAGATTCTAAGTGGACATTATGAAGACATTATTCAGCTTAGATGAAGTGGTCACATATCACAAGAAAACCAATTGTCTAAAACAATCTCTGAAATACCTAGACATTCAAAATCATTGAGTTATTAAATAAAATACATTTTAAAATTAAACTCTTTTCAGGAAATAAACTTCAATGTCCCTTAGTGCACTCTCCAAAACATGTAGATAAGAATAAATACTGTTCTGAAAGACATGTCCCTGGAATTACAAGCATTCAATATAATTTAAAAGGCAATCATAAAAATATAAAATGGATATATCAGGAGAAGACCATCTCTGAGTTTTATATGAGTTAGTTTCTCATATAAACTTAGCTGAAAACAAATTTTTTAATTGGTCAAAAAATTTAAGAAAATTAAAAAATGAATATTTAAATACAAATCAGCTTCCCCTTCAAAATCAGAGCAATAATCCAACTCATTGCTCCCTGAAGTTTGAAGTTAGGGCCGTGGAAGGAGGATGAGAATTCCACCCTAGGAAAAGGACCAATATCAGAATTACCAATCACCAGTCCAAGTGGATGATTGATGTGTCAACTCAAGAACCCCTGGCAGGGTGCAGGGGCTCACACCTGTAATCCTAGCACTTTGGGAGGCCGAGGCAGGTGGATCACTTGAGGTCAGGAGTTTGAGACCAGCCTGTCCAATATGGCAAAACTCTGTCTCTACTAAAAATTCAAAAATTAGCTTAGCGTCTTGTGGTGTGAGGTGATTTTGACATCACACCCACACCTTTGACTAGAACACCTAACAAAGGAAATACAGTCGTGGAGCTGGTCATTAAAGGGGGCTCCTCAAAAGCTCAGGAGTGGACTAGGTGAGGGGGTCATTTCTCTGCCCTCACCACAGAGTGCTGGGGAGAGCTGCACAAAAATACGAAGGAGCCATGTGGCTGAGTAACAAACTATCTGCCAGCCAACATTCTTAAGCACCACCCACTGAATCACAGACCAAAACACAACACCAAAATATTTTGCCAGTATACAGCACCTGTGAAAACTAAGGCAAAGACTCAGCCACAAATAAAGATTCTATATGAGTCCCAGTCCTCTCAAAATACCCAGAAATAAAGACAACTGACTATGCTTAACTTACATCATAGTTAAAGGAACACCAGCCTCACACATGAAGAAGAATCAATACAAGAACTCTGGCAACTCGATAGTTCCCCAGAAATCCAATTGTTAGCCATACTAAGATGACTGAAATGACAGACACAGAATTCAGAATCTGGATACTAAGGAAACTCACCAAAATCTTGGAGAAAGATGAAGACCAATCCAAAGAATCCAGCAAAATGATCTAGGAGCTGACACATGAAATATCCATTTTAAGAAAGAACCAAACTGAACTCCTGAAACTGAAGACTTCGCTTCAAGAATTTCACAATACAATCAGAAGCAACAAAAGCAGAAGAGATCAAGCTAGGGAAATAATCTCAGAGCTTGAAAAATAGATCTTTGAATCAACCCAGTCAGACAAAAATTTTTTAAAAGATTTTTAAAAACTGAATGAAATATCTGAGAAATATAGGATTATGTAGAGACACAAAATATATGGCTCATTGGAATTATTGAAAGAGAAGAAGAAAGAGTAAGCAATGTAGAAAACATATTTGAGGACATAGTTCATATTTGAGGACATTCATTTCCATGAAATTTCCATGAAATTTCCATTCATTTTCCATGAAAATTTTCCCAATCTTGCTAGAGAGGAAGACATATAAATTCAAAAAAAAAAATGCAGAAAACCCATGTGGGATATAACACAAGGTGACCATCCCCAATACACACAGTTATCAGATCCTCCAAGGTCAACACAACAGAAAAAAATCTTAAAGGCAGCTAGAGAGAAGGAGCAGGTCACCTACAGAAGGAACCCAATCAGGCTAACCGCAGAACTCTCAGTGGAAATTGTATAAGCCAGAGAGATTAGGAGCCTGTTTCAGCATTATTAAAGAAAAGAAAATCCAACCAAGAATATCATATCCCATCAAACTAAGCTTCATAAGCAAAAGAGAAATAAAATCCTTCTCTGACAAGGAAGGACTAAAAGAATTTGTTAGCACTAGACCACCATGACCACCATTACAAGAGATCCTTAGTGGAGTGCTCAATAGGAAACAGAAGATAAAAACCTGCTACCACAAAAACACACTCAAGCCATAGCTCACAAATAATATAAAGCAATTACACTATCAAGTCTATAAAACAGCCAACAACATAATGACAGGACCAAAATTTCATATATCAATATGAACCCTGAATGTAAATGGCCTAAATTCCCCACGTAAAAGGCATAGAGTGGCAACATGGATAAAAAGCCAAGAGCCAACTGCCTGCTGTCTTCAAGAGACCCATCTCACATGAAATGACACCCACAGGCGGCTCAAAGTAGAAGGATGGAGAAATATTTACTAGGCAACCAGGAAACAAAAAAAAGAGAAGGCATTCCTATCCTTATATCACATGAAACACACTTTAAATCAACAGCAATCAGGAAGGACAAAGGAGGGCATTACAAAATGATACAGGGTTCAATTTGACAAGAAGACTTAACTATTCTAAATATATATGCACCCAACTTTGGAGCACACAGATTCATAAAACAAGTTATTCTTCACCTATGAAAAGAGTTAGCCACATAATAATAGTAAGGGACTTCAACATCCCACTGACAACATCAGATGGATCACTAAAACAGAAAACTAACAAAGAAATTCTGGTCTTAAAGACAACACTGGACCAATTGAATGTAAGAGACATCTACAGAGTATTCCACCCAACAACTGCAGAATATAGATTCTTCTTATCTGCACACACAAAAAAACATACCATATTCTAAGATTGGCCACAAAGCAAGTCTCAATAAATTCAAAGAATCAAAATCATAACAAGGCACATAATAAAAATGGAAAAAAATACCAAGATCATCTCTTAAAACTACAGAAAAACATGGAGATTTAACAACTTGTTTCCAAATGAATATTAAGAGCCATCTATGACAAATCCACAGCCAACATCATATTGAATGGGCAAAAAATAGCCCATGGAGAAGAGTTTGAATCTCAGAAGAAAACAACAAAAATACGTCAAAAGTCTTTCATGTCAGCACAAAATTCAGTCATCTCCTGTATGAGAGATTGGATCTGAGACGTGTTTTGAGTTGGCAATAGTGAAGGATGCAAGGTGTCAATTCTAGTTGGAACAATTTCCAGGAAGCCATGTTCCACTCTTGAGCAAACAACCACTGGG